TAAAAAAAAAAAATATATAAAAGTTCATTGCATTCCAGGGGTACCTCAGATGACTGAGTCAATTAAAACCAACTCTCGATTTGAGCTCAGTTCATGGTCTCGAAGTCTGTGAGCCTGAGCCCCACATCAAGCTCTGCAATGACAGCACAGAGCCTGCTTAGGATTCTCTCTCGGTCCCTCGCTCTCTCTGCCCCTCCCCCACTCGCATTCTCTCTCTCTCTCTCTCTCTCTCTCTCTCTCCCTCGCTCAAAATAAGTAAATAAACTTTAAAAAAGTTAATTGCACCCCAATATACTAAAAATGAACAAGTGGAATTCAAAACTAAAAACACAGTACCACTGATATTAGCGTTCCCTCCAAAATCAAATACTTAGGTACAAAAGTAACAAAACATACATAAGATCTACGTGAGAAAAACTACAAACTCTATGAAGAGAATCAAAGAACTAAATAAATGGAGAGATACTTCATGTTCATGGACTGAAAGATTCAGTATTGCCAAGATGTCAATTCTTACCAATTCCAATTTAACCTACAGATTCAGCACAATCTCAATGAAAATCCAAACAAGTTATTTTATGAATATCAATAAATTGATCGCAAAGCTATATACAAAAGCAAGAGACCCAGAATAGTGAACTCAGTACTAAAAAAAAAAATTGGAGGACGGACACTATCTGACTTCAAGACTTACTATAAAGTTACAGTAATCAAGACAGTGTAGTGCTGGAAAGAAGAGACAAATAGTTCAGTGCACCAAAATAGTGAGCCCATAAAGAGAGTCAACTGATCTCTGACAAAGGAGCAAAGGCAATACAATAATTCAAAGATAGTCTTTTCAACAAATGTTACTGGAATAACTAGACCCCCAGGTGCAAAAAAAAAAAAAAAAAAAAAAAAAAAAAAAAAAAAAAAATGAATCTAGATATACAGCTTACACTGTCATAAAAATTAACTCAAAACGGATCACAGACCTAGATGTAAAACATAAAATTATAAAATTCCTAGAAGCTAACATAGGTGAAAACTTAAATGACCATGGGTATGGTAGTGCCTTTTTAGATACAATATCACAGACCTAATCCGTGAAAGAAATACCAATCAAACTTCATTAAAGTTAAAAGCTGCTCTGCAACAGACAGTACCAAGAATTAAAAGACATTGGGCACCGAGGTGGCTCAGTCAGTTAAGCATCCGACTCTTGATTTCAGCTCAGGTCATGATCTCATGGTTTGTGAGATGGAGCCCACATGGGGCTCTGCACTGACAGCATGGTCACAGGGAGAGAGATGAACAAAAAGAGCACACAGGACTTTTAGGGCAGCGAAAATACTCTATATGATATAATAATGATGAATCTATGTCATTATACAGTTGTCCAAACCCAAATATACACCACCAAGAGTGAACCCTAAGGTAAACTATGAACTTTGGGGAATTATAATGCATCAATGTAGGTTGATCCATGGTAAGAAATACACCACTCTGGTGGGGGATGTTGATAATGGGGGAGGCTGTGCATGTGTGGGAACAAGGGGAATCTCTCTACCTTCTTCTCCAATTTACTGTAAACCTAAACTCTAGAAGTCTTAAAAATTCTGTGAAATATTATGTTTCAAATATATACACATATAGAAATAAGGTAGAGATAACAGTTCCAAGATATGATAGCTTTTTCATTTCATAGTTGGTTCAATGGTACATAATGAGATGATAAAGAATTAATAACAACATGAAACTCAGATACCCACTTGCTTTTTCTTCAAATCTCTGAGGGCAGCAAAATCATCAGGGGAGTCAGAAGGAACACTTGTGACCACACCAGTGCCTTATACAAGAAAGTATGAAATTAATTAATACAACCAGAATGCAATCACCAAAGTATTTCTAGAAAGAAAGAAACTCTTTACCTTTATCCTCCTTAATGGTGAGCATTGGAAGAACATAGATCACCTTATAAGATGTTAAAGGTGCAAAAAGCGACACACCAAGCATTTCCTGTGCAACAAAAAGATCAGCATAAAAGGTGAAAAAACTTATTTTACTCAAATTTAAAAGTGTTAATATTTTTAAGCCCTGAGAAGCTAACATTCAAAAATACATGAAGTAAAGCAAACTCATTCTTTTATACACACTAGACTAAAAATAGTTGTAAATAATTATAATTCCCAAATGTGATGTCATAAGGTGGTGAGGAAATTAACACACTAATACATTGCTGGTGGCATTGTACTCCTTGAGGAAAACAATGTAAGAATCATAGCGAGACACAAAAACATTCACACAACTTAGATCCAGCCAGTCCTAGGAATTTACCTCAAAAGAAAAAAACATTTTTTCTTTGAGAAGTCTACCCAATGCTGTGTTAACTACAACAGCAAAACCTGGAAACAGCTAAAATTTAAAAGATAGAAAAAGCATTTAACAAAATATGAGATATAAACAAAATAAAATACTGTATATCCATTTAAAACAATGATTAGCAGGGCACCTGAGTGGCTAAGTTGGTTGAGCATCCGACTCTTGACTTCGGCTCAGGTCATGATCTCACAGTGAGTTCAAGCCCCACATAAGGCTCTGCGCTGAAAGCACAGAGCCTGCTTGGGATTCTGTCTCCCTCTCTCTCTGCCCCTTGCCAACTTGCTCTCTAGCTCTCTCTCCAAATAAAAATAAATAAATAAACTTAAAAAAAAAAAAACAGAAACAATGACTAGGAAGACAAATTGTATGAAAAACATACATCTAGTTTCTCTTAAAAAAAAATCCAAAGATTCAACAATACCGAACCCATACTCTCAAAACTAAGCTAAAGACTGCACTTCTCAATTGCACACAGTTCCCACCGGCCCGCTTTATTCAAAGAGAAACTGCTTTTATGGAACTTACAGTCACGTGGGTGAAGGCTAAATATCGTAAGAGTCTTAAGGGCTAAAAGCCATTTTTTAATTTATACCACCCATTTTCCTCACTCCAAAATCTGTTCAAATTTACAGGGAAAGAAATTGCACTAGTAACAGGAAAAATCTGTGTTATTAACACTATTCCTAAAAACTTCTCAGACACAACTCCAACAGCTGATGAGAAGTGGCAGCACTGCTTGTAACAGAAAATGACAGGAAACTATTCAAGTGTGCATTATAGAAAATGGTTAAATATGCTGTGGTACAGCCACACAATGGACTACTTATGTGGCTGCAAAACATAAGACATAAGGAAGCTATGCACCCACAAGGCAAATACCAAGACATAGCTAAGGAAAAAAGAAAAAAGAAGAAAGCAAGATGCAGAAAAATGTGATAAAGTATACTGCCATTTGTTGTTTTTTGGGTTTTGGGGGTTTTTTTTAGTAATCTCTACCCACCCCCCCCCAGTGCAGAATTCAAATTCAGGACCCTGACATTAAGAGTCACACACTCTTCTGACTAAGCCAGCCAGATGCCCCAAAATATACTGCCATCTGTATATTAAAAAGAGGAAGAGGGGCACTTGGGTAGCTCAGACAACTAAGCGTCTGACTTTGGCTCAGGTCATGATCTCATGGTTCGCGTTGGGCTCTATGCTGACAGCTCAGAGCCCGAAGCCTGCTTCGGATTCTGTGTGACCCTCTCTCTCTATCCCTCCCCTGCTCACACTCTGTTTCGGCTCAAAAATAAATATTTTTTTAAAAATCAAAACTAAATATTAAAAAAAATTTGAAAATGTGATTTATCAAGATACCTAAGATTAGCATTTATGAAAGGGTTTAATAAAATATACTCTGAAATTTTGGTAAGTAAATAAAGTATAAGAATAAAAGCTATATAATCGTCCAGATTTAGTTACCATCAACCAAGATTCTTCAGAAAAACAAACAGCTGCAATTCTATACCAGAAACACAGGTAATCATATTACACTGCAACCATTAAATCTCTCGGGGAGGACTGTCTATATTTTTCAAGCAGATACTTACTGAACTGAAACATAAGAGTCAAAAATGCTATAGTGATATAGTCATACAAGGAATACTCCACAGCAATAAAAAAAGAACAAGTCTACTACACACAACATGTATGAATTTCAAAGACTTAATGTTGAGCAAAAGAAGCCAGACACAAAAGAGTACAGATTATATAATTCAATTACGTCAAGTTCAAGAACAGCAACCAATCTTTGGTGACTAAAGGCAGAGTGGTGGTTACCTTTGTGGAACAGGGGTGGGTACTGACTGCAAGATGGACGTGGGAGCACCTTCTGGACTACTGGAACTGGTCTGTATCTTGATTAGGGTGAAGTGTACACATGTAATAAAACTGCACCAAAATACTGAACTTAACGATTTACACATTGCATGTATTCCTCAATTAAAATGATTTTTCCAATGTTCTTTTCTCAAGTGTCATGGATAAAATGTTCCTCTAAATTTAAGCACTAAAATTAAAAATCTGCTACCCAACTCACCTCTCCCATTAATTCCTTAACAACAGGCACCACTCCATTGTGTTTGGTAAAGCCCTGGTATGACATATTCCTGGCGGCTCTCTGGGTGCAGATGAATATATCACCATTCGCCGTCTCAAACCCAATGTACTTCATATCAGGGCGAACCCAACAGTTGGTCTGTCCAAACATGGTCTCAGGTCTGAGAGTGGCAGCTACCAAGAAGATATTTTTCCCTTTCAGGCCACTAAGAAGAAAAAAATATATGTTTACGCAAAAAAGTGTTGTGGATTCTATTGCATCTATCTGTTACTTCAAAAAGATAATGCAATAACTCTGCAGTGAACCTACCTTAATTTGGATGGGTACGGCTCAAGCACTTTCAACTTGATTAAAGTATATTCCTGAGGTCCCACACCCTAAACAAATAAACAAAACCAAACCTTAAGAAGAAAAAAGACTTGAATTAAACCCACACATAGAAGTGAGAGATCGGATTCAAATTTCTTAGATGGATTCTTGCATTGTTAGAATAATTCTTTCTTACAAGGAGTCAGCCAGTAGGGAGCTGACTATATTCCCATAAAGTCTAAGGTGTAAGAAGTGACTTGAAAGACCACCTTCCCACTCCACACCAAATCAGAACTAGTAAAGGAGGCCCAGACTCTACTAAGTAAGGACAGTTTGCTAAGAATGCACTTGAGAGTGAAGAATGAGGAGGGAAAAAGTGACTTAGAGTAATCACCCAAAACGGTGTTTACCAAAATGGGAGTCAGAATATGTAATCAAACAATCCCCCAGAGCAGGCATCATAGAAACATATTGGACCAGGGGCCAGAGCACAAGCATTCAAAACCTAGCTTGGGCTGTTACTAATATCTTAATCCAAGGGAGACAAATCCTTCAACTGTAATATAACCGTACTGTGACTCACACAGGACTTACCCAAAGAATACATAGGACAAATGAATAGTAAAATGCTTTGAAAAACTATGGCATACTACTGGAATTTAGGATACTGCTGGTGTTGACCATATTAAAAGTTAATACAGTCAGTAAACTGGGTCTTCTGAATTCAAAATTTTGATCAACTCTCATTTCTGTTAGATAAGTTACACCATAATTGAAAGCAAACTTCGAAAAGTAGTCGCTAGACTACAAATGCATTCAAAGATGGTAACAAAGGAAGATGCACTCATAGGGAATCCTAAGTTCAGATTCTGGCATTGTTGTTCATTTACTGTGCCACAGCTTTAGGCAAATGACCCTGGCTTCACTCAAGTATTACAAAGAATAATGTTACTAAGGAATGTAGAATGAACTGATGTCATGCATGACTAGAAGTACTTCAGAAATAAGCAAGCACATGATCAAAGCAAGTATAAATGGAATCTGTGCACATCAGTTAGCCACATATCTCATTACCTTGCCCCATCTCTCTTTTTAGAGCAGTGTATTCTCCAGGGAGCGCTCCTCAAACATTAGCCTACATGCGAGTCATATTGAAAGCTTATTAAAGACAGATTCCTGGGCTCCACCCTCAGAGCTTCTTATTCAGCAATTTGGGGATGAGGCCCAAGAATGTGCTTTTCTCTCACAAGCAGATGAGATGCAGCTGGTCCTAGGACCACCTTTGGAGTAACAAGGTCTTAGACAAGACACAGAATCTTACAGTAACATTCTGTTTCCCTCTTCACAGCCACCAGAATACACCTCAGCACTGAAATAAAATTATTTTTAGGTTCCTGATCTATTCCGTAAACTCTATGGCCATAGTGAGAATTATTATAATAGCTACTCTATGTCACAAATAATTACCTCTCCAGTTTGCCTATCATGATCCATACAAGGCTGTCCATCTTTTGGAGAATAAATGGTATACCTAAAAAATAAATAGTAAGTAACAAATATTATTATAATATACAAGTTTTATCCTAATGTATTTGCCTTTATTGCTAATATCTTATAATATTTCTTCTAACTAAAACTTTTAACTGAACAAATGTCTACATCAATTATTTATGCTTTTATGAGTAGTGGCCAGCCTATTTAATGAAAGCTTTCTGCCTTCATTAAAGGTAATACCCCTGAAAACTATGCACCGGTCTTGGCTTGGTGGTATGAAACAGATTCGAAGTGTCTCTTTTTGTGCCAGTAGGTATGAAACAGATTCTAAAATATAAATTCAGTTATGAAGCACACATAGTTTTTAATTAATCCATAGAATCAAGGAAGAATCTTAAACAATTTATAGAAAAAGTAGATAAACTAACACATATATAAAATTCTTTTGCTGCTTGACTGAAAATACTGAAAAGAATCTTTAGGGAGATCATAACAGCCAATACTCCTATTCTCCCTCTTTTTAGCAGCTCAGAGACATTAAACACTGGTAAAACACTAAAATGCTGGTAAGACAAAAAGGAAAACAAAGGAGACATGAGAACAAAAAGGAAAAAAGTTATAAGAAGAGAAAGGATAATGAAAAAAAGAAGCTATCTATCGGGCACTGAATTACAATGCAGAGTGAAATGTTTGCTTTATTATCCTGAAGGACGACAAACTCACCGCTTCCCAAATTTTATTTTACTTCTTTCTCTTAATGTTAAGTACTGCCACCTGACAAATGAATCATAGTAAGGATTAACATCAGTGGTGATGAAGGAGCGACGCCAGTCGACCTACAGAAAAGAAAATACGTGATTTTTGAGAAATGTGTATAGTTTCTATGAATAAAAGCTCCCACCAATTATTTACTCTTCCACTCTTTATTTTCCAACTTAAAATTATATCAAACATTAAAAGGAGAACAATATTCAGGTTCTACCTATTAAATATATATTATAATTATATTAACTTGTATTTAACTTGTAAGTTTTTAAGCACACATATTCATATAACAAACATATAGAAATTATAAGTTAAGAAGGAACATTTAAATAACACCTTTGTGTATTCCTAAATATACAAGCTAACCTTTGCCTTCTTCATAGTCTTTGAACAGAATTCCCTTCTACTAATTGCTAACATATTAAAACATTTTCAATACAACAAATATTAAAGTACTTCACTGCTTACATCAAGGCCCATAACAATAACAGAACTAATTCATTACTGGAATACAGGTGGAATAAATTATTCTAAATTATGAGATGGTCCAAACTCACAGAAATCACATAAATACAAATGTGTTCTTCACATTTTCTTAAACTATAGGAGTGATGGACATACCTTCAAGCCCATTCTCTTCAGATCCTCAATAGCCAGTGGTGGGAAATAATCAAGCCAATGTTCTGCTTCAGAAAATTTGACTATCTCTTCATCAGACAGACCAAGGGATTTCATAATGTTCCACTGATATTTAGAAGATCCAGCTTTAGCAGCAGCTTTACTCTGAAAATAACCAGTAAAAACAAACTCCATCAAGAACCAACCAACAAATGATTACCAAATTCTAGGACCACAATCATTTTAAGTAAATAATCCCATTTAGCAGTAATTTTTCATTCCAAAACATACTGTTGATATGTCAGATTACTAACGAATTGAAATGTGCTATTCTGTCTGTCAAACCGAACAGTCTGATATTAAGACCTTGACACCAGAGGTAACTAAATCGTTGAAACCATAAAGAATTATCATCAAAGATAAGATGTCATCACCAAGCTCGATTTCCTTCTTCCTAATGCCATATGTATCTTTTTTAGTTATGAATAAGCTACTGACAGGAGTTTTGTCCTCTTCTAATATTTACCAATATCAAAAAGGCAACCAAATGTCAGGCAATGGAGGTGGGTAAAGAAGTTGAACTATAAACCTATAAAGACAGGGAAGGAATTTGGGAGGTGATAGAACTGCTCTGTATGGTACTGTGGGGTTAGAAACACGACTCCAGGGGCGCCTGGATGGCTCAGTCGGTTAAGAGTCCAGCTTCGGCTCAGGTCATGATCTCATGGTTTGAGCCCTGCGTCAGGTTCTGTGCTGACACCTCAGAGCCTGAAGCCTACTTTGGATTCTGTGTCTCCCTCTCTCTCTGCCCCTCCCCCACTCACACTCTGTCTCACTCTCTCAAAATTAGACATTTAAAAAAAAAGTAAAAAAAAAAAAAAAGAAACACAACTCCATGTGTTTGTCAAACCAACACCACTATCTACTAAAAAGATTGAATTTTATTGTATATACATTTGTTTAAAAAATCCACCAGGATGTGGGAGGAACCAAAGACGAAATGCAGACTGTGACAAATGTATCTAATAGTATTATTAATATATGATACAACCACACTTTGAAGTGAGTGGGAAAAAAAGGAGTTTTAGAAGTAACTTTGTCGGGGAGTGGGGGGCACCTGGGTGGCTCAATCGGTTGAGCATCCAACGTTAGCTGAAGTCATGATCTCATGGTTCATGGGTTCAGGCCCCACATCAGGCTCACTGTTGTCAGCACAGAGCCTACTTCAGATTCTCTGTCCCCTGCTCTTTCTGCCCCTCCCCTGCTCACACTCTCTCTTTCTCAAAAATAACTAATAAAGGGGCAGCTGGGTGGCTCAGTCGGTTAAGCGTCTGACTTCGGCTCAGGTCATGATTTCACAGTTCGTGGGTTCAAGCCCCACATCAGGCTCTGTGCTGACAGCTCAGAGCCTGGAGCCTGTTTCAGATTCTGTGTCTCCCTCTCTCTCTTCCCCTACCCTGCTCACTCTCTGTATCTCTGTCTCAAAAGTAAATAAACATTAAAAAAAAAATTTTGTTTTTAAAATAACTAATAAAAACAATTTAAAAAATAAATAAAAGCAACTTTGGAGGGGTGCATGGCTGGCTCAGTCAGTTGAACATGCAACTTGATCTCAGGGACTTTGACTTCGAGAGCCCCATGTTTAGCATGGAGCTTACTAAAAAAAAAAAAACAAAAAAAAGTAACTTTGGAAAAGAATGTGTTGACTAGATTCTAAGAACAAAAAGTATATACAAACACTGTACTTTAGTTGGTAAAACTGTTCCTCTCAGGAGTATGGGTTAAGCAGTTCTGAACCACCAGTAGACTAGGACTGAATAAATTATATACTATAAATAATGAGGGCCAGATTTCTCAATGTCAGAGAAAGAAGTCACAAATTGGCAAAGGGAGAATGCTAGACTGAGCCTTATGGTGCTAACAGGGAGCCAAAGTTATCAGTATGAACTTTTTTTTTTTTTTGAAGTAAACTCTAACCCCACTGTGGGGCTCAAACTCATGACCCCAAGATCAAGAGTCACATGCTCTATCAAATAAGTCAGCCAGGTACCTCCCAGTAAGAACTTTTTACACATATATAGAGATAAAGAACTATTATAGACAGGTGCATATATGTGGGTTACCAGGGTTAATATATATATTTCCTTGCTCTTTCTACTGAAAGGAGCTACAATGAGTATACCTAGCATTCAGAACTTAGTTTTCTAAATACCATTTCTCAACTAAAGGAAACAGGCCTCCTTGGGGATGTGGTTGATTCCAGGGCTGGAACAGGGAAAATCTAAGACAAAGCTGTAGTATCTTGGCACCAGAAAATAATAAAGGACTTCAAAAAGAAAAGAAAAAAGATGGGAGCATATCAGATAGCCACAGGAGCCAGCATAAAAGACTCTCAATGACCAAAATCAGAACAAGTTGAGTAATTACAATAACAACCCCCAAACACCAGAGAGTACTGGAGTATAACCCAAAGAATAAAATAAATATGCATGAATCCACACCGATATAAAAAGGGACTGAATAAATAAGTAACTGGGGAAGAGAGGACAACTATTCTTTTCCGAAGAATTCTAGGTAATAAATGGAGAAAGAATGAGGGAAATGGAAAATCACTATTAGAACAACACAGTAATAGGGTGTCTAGGTGGCACAGTCAAATAAGCATCTGACTCTTGATTTCAGCTCAGATCATGATCTCACAGTTCATGAGTTCAAGCCCCAAATCAGGCTCTGCACTGACAGTGTGGAGTCTGTTTGGAATTCTCTCTCTCCCTCTCTCAAAAATAAACAAACATTAAAAAAAAAAAAAAAAAAAAAAAAAAAAGAACACAGTAATAACTATAGCAGGCAGGCAAGATCCACAGATGAATGCTAAAATTAATGAGAAAATATTTAAAAAGAAGATATTGAGGCGCCTGGGTGGCTGTCGGTTCAGCGTCCAACTTCAGTTCAGGCCACTATCTCAGAGTTCATGGGTTCGAACCCTGCATCAGGCTCTGTGCTGACAGCCCAGAGCCTGGAGCCTGCTTCGGATTCTGTGTCTTCCCCTCTCTCTGCCCATCTCCCACTCATGATCTGTCTCTCAAAAATAAATAAACATTATAAATAAATAAATAAATAAATAAATAAATAAATAAATAATACTATTTCCATAGCCTCAAAGTATCTCTCAAAATATATACAAATCAAGGGGGAAAATGGAGTCCCTACAGTAGAAAAACCTGACAGACACCACCTAAACCGAATGATCAAGGTTAACATCACCAGTAATGAGATACCAATATCATTCGCTCACTGATACGATGCAATGAGGAGGACATGTCACCTCTCAATCAACTCATGATTCATGAGAAAGCATTAAACAAACTCAAATTGAGGGACATTCTATAAATTATCTGACCAGCACTCTCCAGAAGTGTGAAAATCAAGGAAGACAAAGATGGAAGAGACTAAGGAGACATACTAAGGAGATGTGACAAGTAAATGCAATGTGGAATCTTGGATTAGACCTGCAAACAGAATAAGGGTGTTAATGAAAAAACTGTTCAAAGTCAAATGAGGTTTGTAGTTCAGTAAATAGGATTGTTCAAATGTTAATTTCTTGGCTTTCAGGGTTATATATGTTCAAATGTTAATTTCTTAGCTTTCATGGTTATATAAGATGTAACCTTAGGGGAACTTAGGGGATCATGAGGGAACTCCGCTCTACCTTGCAATTCTTCTCTAAATCTAAAATTTATTGCCGAAAAAAGCAAAAAGGGGGAAAAAAGGCCATCGAAAAGTCAGAAAAATAATTTCTGGCTTTGTTACATTTTCAAAATTACTGAGTACTTTTTATGTGCTAAGTCCTGAAAATACAAAGATAAATTAGTCAAGGCACCTGGGTGGCTCAGTCAGTTAAGCGTCTGACTTTTGATTTCGGCTCAGATTGTAATCTCATGGTTTGTGAGATCAAACCCCGCCTCAGGCTCTGTGCTCACTGCCGGCCTCTCTCTGACCCTCCCCCATGCACACTCTCTCAAAGTAAATAAACATTAAAAAAAAAAAAAAGACAAATATAAATTAGACAAATATAAAATTTCAACCAAAATAAATATTATTAGCCACCAAACCTTTTTTCCTTTGGCTTTATCCTTAATTATTACATCTTCTGTTTTAACATTGATTTCTTCCTCTTCCTCTTCTTCATCTGGAAAATCAGGGGGGCAACCATAAAGCTCTATTTCTCTTTTCAGTTTATCAGCACATGCCTATAACAAATACAACATTAGAGTGAAGTTCAAAATTTGAGGTAGAAACAATTTGAATTTTTTGGTATTTTTACAGCCAACTAAAATTGACTCTGAAATTTTCTGCAATACACCTATACACATGTGGATCACAATAGAAAACTCACATGATAAAATTCATGTACCTCAAAATTCACTAATTTATACATTAGTATTTTACTGCTTTTATTCAGCAAGCATTTATTCAACACTCAAAGTTCTTAATGTAGTATACTTTGTTAGACATTAAAAGTTCAAAAATACATAAGACATGAGGTGCCTGGGTGGCTCAGTCAGTTGAGCACCCGACTTCAACTCCGGTCCTGATCTGGTGGTTCACCAGTTCGAGACCTGTGTTGGGCTCTGTGCTAACATCTCAGAACCTGGAGTTGGCTTCAGATCTGTGTCTCCCTCTCTGCCCCTCCCCTGCTCACACTCTGTCTCTGTCTCTCTCTCAAAACTAAAATAAACATGAAAAAAAAAATAATTTTAAGAGAAAAATGTAAGACATAGTGTTATCATTTTGAATAACAATATGAATCACAGCATTTATCAATTTAAAGATTACTATTTTATATCCCCATCATCATCACAACCTTCCGAGGTAGATAGGACAGGTATTTAGTTAGAAAACACACACTTGAGAGATGAAGGGATTTATCTAAAAGTTATAAATCTAGCAAGCTGCAGAGATAACACATGAACTTTGGCTTTCCACCCCAGCTCCTCTCAATTACACTATAATATCACATATAACACATATCATACATATATATATGTATATTATGTATGTGTATATATATTTACATATATAGTATATGTATTATATATGTATATGTATACACATGTATATATGTATATGTAATATATATATATATACACACAAAGACGACACCAAGTTAAAGTTAAGAGAAAAATGCAAATATAGGATTATGACTTTTAAAAACGAAGGGGACTCTTCCATGCAGAAGAATTTCAGTTAACAAATAAGGAAAGAATGACACAACTAGAAAGTCACCATTTTGTAAACACTCAATAAGTGAAGCAGACAAGGAGCATCAAATGATGCTAAAACCACTGGGTTATTGGATAACCAGATATTCAGAGGCTCCCAAAGTATCATCTGTAGATTACTTTTCAATAACCCACCTTCAGAATGAATAAATCTGACAGTTACTAGCTCAACATCATTAAAATGGGACAAAGTGCCATTCTATGCCTTTTGATGTGATACAATGGGAAGTTTACGCCTCACCAATGTAGTATTCTTGTCAAAATATTTAACCCAGATGTAATCATGAAGAAAAAATCAGAAAATTCAGACTATGGACCATTCTACAAAATAACTAGCATACACTCTTCAACGACATCAACGTCATGACAAACTACAAGAAACCAAAAAGAATTAATGACCAAATGCAATGTGTGACCGACAACACACAAAGTAAAAAAAAGTCGGAAAGGACATTTTGGGACAACTAGAAACATCTGACTAGAGATTAGATGAAGATGCTAATATTACATCAATGTTAAATTTCTTGGAGGGGATAATGAAACTGTGATGATGTATAAAATGCCTTTGTTCTCAAAAGACACATGCTAAAGTAGTTAGAGGTAACACAGCATGATATGTGTAACTTACTTTCAGTGAGTTCACAGAAACAGAGAAAAGAAAGTATGCATGTATTACATGTGCATTAAGAGAACCAAAGGAATTATAGAAAATGCTAATATTCGGTAACTATGAGTGAAGGGTATATGGCTGTTCATTCTATCCTTTTACCTGTTCTGCAGGTTTGACATTTTTCAAAATAAAAGGTTGGAGAAGCAAAAGAAATGGGAAGTTAAATTTCCCAACCCTCTTACATTTAAGGAATCCTTTCGACAATAATTGTCTGGCCCCTTCTTTACTGAGAATTATTTCTAATATAAATTTATGACAAACGAAGACATTTGCAAACATGATCAAAATATGATACAACTAAAACAAACAGTATTATACATTTAAAAAACTGTTTATTACTCTATGTATGTCATGAATACTTTTTAATAGTTATTATCTAACTTGAAAACAGAAATATCAATATGTAAGGTCACCAATAGAGATACAAAAATTACTGAGAAATCACTTAGACCTGGGGCGCCTGGGTGCCTCAGTTGGTTGAGCGCCCGACTTTGGCTCAGGTCATAATCTCACAGTTCGTGGGTTCAAGCCCCGCGTCAGGTTCTGTGCTGACAGCTCAGAGCCTGGAGCCTGCTTTGGATTCTGTGTCTCCCTCACTCTCTGCCTGTCCCTTGCTCATGCTCTGTCTCTGTCTCTCAACAATAAATAAATGTTAAAAAAAATTTTTGGGGGGCGCCTGGGTGGCTTGGTCGGTTGAGCATCCGACTTCGGCTCAGGTCATGATCTCACGGTCTGTGAGTTCGAGCCCCGCGTCGGGCTCTGTGCTGACAGCT